CTTTCCCTTCTCTTCTGCGTACACCCAATTCGTCTTTGACTCCCGCTCTCCCCCCCCACCCCGGGCATCCCCACTCGAATCTTTGTTTCTTGAAATGCACAGGAGCTCGGAGAATGAAATGCTACTATGATGTGCGAGCGACGTGACGAGTAACTGCAGCAGAGGGCTTTACCTGCACTATGGGCGTTGGGTTTCTGACTGTTAGCAGGAATCTATCTGGCGGCCTATTTCCCGGTGTTATTCCCCCTTGGGAGGGTTTTCTTATCTACACCGCCTCTCTCTCCCTTGATCAAACATGTCCGTCTACTGCCGTCTCTGTCTGCCTGCATGCCTGTGCATTGAGTGATTGATTGATTGATTCACTCATTGATTGATTGATTGATTCACTCGTTGATTGATTGATTCACTCATTGATTGATTGATTGATTCACTCGTTGATTGATTGATTGATTGATTTGTAGGCTGATTGATTTCATAGTTGCTTTATTGATTGCTCGCGTGATTGGTTGCTTGATTGCTCGCGTGATTGCTTGCTTGATTGCTCGCGTGATTGCTTGCTTGATTGCTCGCGTGATTGCTCGTGTGATTGCTCTCTTGATTGCTCTCTTGATTGCTCTCTTGATTGCGCTCTTGATTGCTCTCTTGATTGCTTGTTTGATTGCTTGCTTGATTGCTTGTTTGATTGCTTGTTTGATTGCTTGTTTGATTGCTTGCTTGATTGTTTGTTTGATTGCTTGGTTGATTGCTTGCTTGATTGATTTCTTGTTTGATAGCTGGATTGATTTCTCTTCGCTGATTGGTTTTGATTGATGGTTAGACGTATGCAGTACTCGCTTGAGTAATGGACGGGTGGATGGCGTGATTGAATCTACTGAATCCCCCGAGTCCAGTCAGTCAGGGTCTGGATCGTTGCTACCATGACCTGAAAAACAGATCGTTGAAAGCGGAAGCGATGAAACGACACGATCCCGAATAGAAAACCAAAATACGCCAGTCTCAGACACTGGAGGTCTTGGGTTCGAATCCCAAATCCGACCCGTCTTTTCCCCCAAAGAAGGAAAAAAACGCAGCAAATGAGTTCATAACAAAGTTAAGCGAAAACCGACTGGCCTAGCTCAGTTGGTACACCCATGAGTTGTTGAAGGCCACTTGAAATACAGTCCTGATTTCGAACTCCAATGGGAGCAGATAATTAAAATACCGGTCAGTTCGATGATGATATCTCAAGGCCGTTGCCCCTTAAAAAAAAAAAAAAAAAAAAAACCGAGAAGGAAACCTCAAAACTCAACAAATCAAGACGCTAGAGAAAGAAAAAGGAGCCGTCTCTCAGTTGGCCCTGTGTACCGTTGCCGGCTATGAAAACCGATGGCGGTCTGCATATGTTGAAATCGAAAGGAACAATTGATTTGAGCACAGTACTTTTATGTGTCTCTCTCTGTGTGTGTGTGTGTGTGTGTGTGTGTGTTTGTGTGTGTGTGTGTGTGAGAGAGAGAGAGAGAGAGAGAGAGAGAGAGAGAGAGAGAGAGAGAGAGAGAGAATCATGTCGAGTTTTAAAATTTCAACACAA